TCCCCAGGTAGCCTATGGACTCACAGGGATCTGGACGTGGCCACTGGGGGGCCTCCCTCTGTCTATCACACCAGGCGCCGAAGCTCAGAGAAATTCCAGGCAGGGAGACGAGTTCTCACGTTCTCCAGGAGCCTCCTGGGCTGGAGCCCTGCCTGTTGGACCCTGTGACATCAGTGGGTGCAGCAGCCGCCGAGATGGATGTGGGTGAGGGCAACCCGGGGCTGTCTCGCTAGCCCTCACTGCACCGGCCCATTCTGGGTCAACAGTGGGTCAACCTGGTGGATCTCCGAGGTGACCGAGCTTACCGACAGATGAGCTGCGGCCTCAGGAAGAGGGTGCATGGCTGGCAGGAGCCAGCGGGGGGCAAGACCAACAGCCCTGAGTGCTGGTGCAGTCCACGTAGGGCCCAGCCTCTGCAGCCAGACGTCAGCGCCAGTGCCGGTCCTGGGCAAGATGTCCATTTAACAGATGAAGAAAGAAGGCTCAGGGCCGTGGGGACTGTCTGGGTGGGTCACATGGCCGGCAGGTTTCAGGGCCTCTCTGTCCATCCGGGGCCCACCGCTACTCTGTGGCTTGGGTGTGGTCTGGAGCTACTGCCTCAGGACCCACGACCATCCTGGCAGTGTGGCCCCTTCAGAAAAGCCGGAAATGCAGAAATCAGGCACAGGCACCTTCCCCATGAGCTACTTGAGAGACAGAGGAGCAGTCACGCATCCTTATGGAGAAAAGGAGAAGCAGGATCCAGAAAGGGTTTCCCTGCAAGATTCCTCAGGGCCCGGCAGGCCTCAGCCCCAAGATTGAGGCCAACTTATTGGAGGGGTGTGTGTGTGTGTGTGTGTGTAAAACTGAGTATGCAAGCATGAGCCCAGAGCTGGGGGTGCAGGCCACGGAGGTGTGAGGGTCCACCTCCCCATCTCACTGACCCTGTGTACAGAGGAGAGATGGAGGCAGGGGAGGCTGTGTCCTGCCCAGGCCAGTGGCCTGCCAGTGACAGAGGGGAAGACTCGCTCACGGTGGGGCTGCTTGGGATCACAGAAGAGTGGCCTGGCCGGCCTGGCAGCCCCGGCCCTGGAGACAGCCAGGGACTCCTGGGCTCTACTTCCCTGGGAGCTTTTATGGGAGTGTCCCTGGGCCCCTGATACCAACCCCTTCCGGGATCAATGGCCCCTTGCTTTTGGCACAGAGCTTCAGGGCCAGTGGGTGCCTCTGGTCCAGTAACTGAGGAAAGCTTTCGGTGGTGCTCTGGGCACCTCTGTGACCTGCCCCAGGCCCAGCCCTCGTGCTGATCCCACTGTAGCCACCCCACTCGGTGCCCCAGGCCCTGGACACCTCAGGTCATGGGATGTCCCATGCATTAAAACTCTCACAGCCACCTACACTTATAAGCAGACACAGAGGCGTGGTGCCACCTCTGCCTCCTCAGGCAGGATACGTTTTCTGTTTGTTTTGAGATAGAGTTGTGCTCTGTCATTCAGGCTGGAGTGCAGTGGTGCAGTCATGGCTCACTGCATCGTCGAACTCCCGGGTTCAAGCAATCCTCCTGCCTCAGCCTCCCGAGTAGCTGGGACTAAAGTCTTGCGCCACCATGCCTGGCTAATTTGTTTTTATTTTTATTTTGGTAGAGACTGGGTCATGCTATGTTCCCCAGGCTGGTCTCGAACTCCTGGGTTCAAGCAATCCTCCCGTCTTTGCCTCCTAAAGTCCTGGGATTATAGATGTATAAGTCACCATGCCTAGCCCAGAATGTGCCTCTTAACCTTCATACCACAGCCCCTATGCTCAGGACGAGGAGGGACATAGGCCAGCTGCCCCAGGTTCCCCCAAGGGGACAGTGTCACCCTGGAGTGGGCTCCTTGGTGGACAGAGTCACCATCTCCCAGCAGCTCCCAATCCATCCCATCACAAGCCAGGACTAGGCACTGCCATCAGTTTGATAGTTGATATTTTCCTGCCAAGAGGAGGTCCCTAAGAGCCTGAGCCATCGGTGAGGGACAGTGCTGTCCTGTGGCCAGGCCCCATTGTCGCTGGGGAGTGGCCTGGCCTGTTCCCTCACCCAGCTCCCGTCCGCACCACAGTCACTCCACTTGGGGTTGTCACTGCCCGAGGTTAGGACGTCAGCAGGAGCCAGCCTCATGTGGCAGAGGTGATGGGGAATTACAGCCTGCAAGGGCTGATGGCATCGGAGAGATACAGGAAAGCAAAGGGCTTATTAAAAAGCTGAAATTGGTTCTAAACGAGGTCAGCCGTCGATGCGCCTTGGAGGGAAGCCAGGCGCTGAGCAGCAGGAACGGGGCTTATTTCCTGACACCGTAGCCATGACACTCTGCACCTCCCCAGCCTACTCCACCCCCACCCCACCTCTGGAGGGTAACGTGCACCCAGACACTGGAGCAGAGCCAGTGGGGGTGGGAGCAGGGCGGAAAGACCCCCGCGGGGCACCACAGGGAGGCATGTGGCCAACAGAGCACCTGGCAGGCAGGTGTCACCTCCGAGGAGGGTGAAGGCAGGAGGAGAGTTGACCGCTGCTTCCTTACCCTGGGGTCGGATTGCTCCCTTTGAAAATCCATTAATGCAAGGAACAGCGCAGCCACAGGGCCATCCGATTGGATCCGCTCCCTCCCGCCCGGCCCCAATCTCCGCAGATTTTCTCTGTGGTTGCATTTCTCATCTGAGCGTCCCTTCCTCCTGACTCCAGTGGAATTTTTCTGACCTTGGCAGCCAAGGTGTACAGCCCCCTCCAGCTCAGGGAGCCCTCTTTGGGGTGCTTGACCCGGGCACTGGCCCGCCCTGTGAGCTCAGGCGCGTTGTCTCGCCTCTCTGAGGCTGCCTCTCCTGTGTCTGAGACAGGGGTGATCGCACACCCAGCCACCCAAGGCTGGCCAGGATGGAGGGAGGCAAAGCAGGGGAAGCCCTGGTGCAGCTTGACTTGTGTCTCCTGTCCCTCCTGTCCCTCCGTAGGGCTTGGTCATCATTATTTTGGAATCAGCTGAATCATTTCTGTCGAATGCAAGAGGAAAGCCAGTTTTGAGTTGGATAAAGAAAATGTCTTTAGATCCCTGTTAAAAATAAACGTGTGTGCATAACACTGCTGTGTATGAGACCACACCTGCCGTCCCTCCTTAGAGCTCCCAGTGGCTGTAGATTCAGGAGAGGAGCGAGGCCCGCAGGTGTGGCAAGCTGTCTGAGGGCTGGCAGCGTCGGGGGCTCTTTGCAGCCTGTCACTCCACAGAACCGCTGGGCTGAAGGAAGCTGGAGGGATCAATGGTCCTTGTCATCCAACTTCCTCTGTCTGCAGATGGGGAGGAGGCGCTGGGTTGGAAAGTGCTTCTCTGAGGACGCCAGCTGCGCATTCAGGAGGGTGGAGCAGGATGTGACCCCAGAGCTCTGACCCCAGAGGAGTAGGAGGGGTGCCTGGGGCCTCAATACCCCAGAGGAGAGGGAGGTACCCCCCTTCCCACAATGCAGGCCCCAGCTGGTGCTTGTTTAGCCTGCTGTCTAGCTGGAGCCACCTGGGTGGCCACCAGGCTGCTGGGAGGGCTCAACCCTGAGCTGGGTGTGCTGTGGAGCCTGCGACCCCCACCTCTGCCTCTGCTGGCTTTTGTTATCCCGTGCTGGGAACACAGGTGCCTGCCCACCCCGGAGCCTCTTCATATCACCGGCTCGCTGTGGCCGCTCCCTGATCCTGAGAGCGAATGTCCAGGATGCACTCTTATCTTGATGCCAGACACCTGCTTACGTGGCACAGACGAGGAGGTTTTGGAAATAATCTGAGGCATGAAGGTGAGGTGCTCTCAGGCGAGGGAGGTGGCATGTCCTGATGGGAAAGCCAGGCCTTCGGAGGCTGAACCCTTCCCAAAGCTCAGCAGACAACCCCAAGAGTGTCTTTCCCCTGGCCTGGGCGTCAATTTCACACTACTGCAAGTATGCACTTGGTCCTCACCTGCCTGGGCCATGGTGGGGGTGAACGGTGCCCCTCTGAGTGCAGTCAGTGAGGAGGGGTTCATGGCCTGAGCTTGGCTTTGCAGGATGGCCTGGCCACCGTGGGGCAGAGAGCACCGCCTGCCAGGGCCAGGGGTAGGCTGGCACTTTCTCCAAATTTCACGTTCATGCAAAGACACGGTCATTCCTTTCCACAGCACAGAGCTCAGAGCTGAAGCAGCCTCCAGACCTGCCATGATGGGTATTTGAGGACTTAAACGTCACTGTCAGCCTGTGACATTAATGTACCCCCTAAGGCTAGATTCTGGGTTTCTCCAAAGAGACGAGAAAGATGATGAGAAAAAAGGAAGGAAGGGAGGGAGGAGGCTAGGGAGGAGGCTGGGGAGGAGGGATGGCTTCTAGTCCAGCTGGACAGATCTGTCAACCCAGCCTGGGGGGTGGAGCTGGGGGGATCAAGCAGAATGTCCTGGAGGCCGTTACGCTCTGTCTACTTGTGGGAGAGGACAGGAGAGAGAGATGCCATGGTGAGACTGACCCTCGGGCCCGTGGGTGGATGATGGCAAAGGTCCTGTGGCAGGTGTGGGAGAAGCAGGGCTGCGGTCAGTTGCCCTGAAAGGCTTCAAATTCAGGCCAGATCTGCTCTGGGAAAGAGGAAGCTGTGGGTTTGGGAGCTTCAGAGACAGGGGAGCAGGCCTGTCACTCACCCTCTTTTCCTTAAACGCTGTCACCCCCAGCAGTGCACCCTGCAGCCTACCTATCCCCTGTGCAGCTCCAGCTCCGTGTGTCCCCAGCGATGCACCCCACGCCCATGTCCCCCATTCCCTATGATGCTCTCGCGCCTTCTGGAGCAGCCGTGGTACCAGCTGGAGGCTGTGGGAAAATTGAGGAGACAAAAGTGGGAACAGCAGGCCGTGGAGAGAGTGTCTAAACACAGGGACTATTTGGAGATTGCCTTATTTTTGGTTCGAAATGGGCCCACCCGCTAGTATTGTACAAACGGCTCTGTTCGCTGGGCCAGGCCTGAGGCGGCTGCGGGCCCATCCTTCACTGGTTGGCCTGGAGCAGCTCCTCAGAGCTCAGTCTGCTCATCCGTGGGTGGTGGAGGTGGTGCAGACCCCATCCCACTGGGGACTGGGCCGGACAGCCTGTGAGGCAGTCAGCCGGTGCCTGGCCGGAGGGTGTCTGAAAGGCCTCTTGGCTGCAGCGCAGGGGGGATCTGCTTTTGGGACAGCTCTTCAAAGCCATCTCAGAAGGGACAGCATCCGCCTGTCTGCTTCAGCTCCCACTGATGACGTCCATGTGTCATTAGTGCCAATTAGAGGAGGGCAGCAGGCAGAGTGCTTGGCCTGGGGCGCAAGCTTGTGGGAGGGACAATTGAATTCCCCACCAGACAAATGTGATTATCCATGTTACTTGGACCCACCCCATTCAGGACCGGGGCATAAATAGCCAGGTGGGACCACAGAGCTCACCCCAGCCATGCAGGCCCCCAGTCGGTGGTGTCGTTGGGCCAGCCTGCCCTGCCCCAGCGTGAGGGAGGCCGCCTTCATGTACAGCACAGCAGTGGCCGTCTTCCTGGTCATCCTGGTGGCTGCACTGCAGGGCTCAGCTCCCCCTGAGAGCCCCTTCCTCTACCGCATCCCCCTGGACCCCGAGGAGTCCCTGGAGCTCTCATGGAATGTCAGCTACCCCCAGGAGGCCATCTTCTTCCAGCTCCTGGTGAAGCAGCTCAAGGCTGGAGTCCTGTTTGGGATGTCCGACCGTGGCGAGCTTGAGAACGCAGACCTCGTGGTGCTCTGGACCGATGGGGACACTGCCTATTTTGCGGTGAGTCTCTCCTCCCTGCCAGTTCTCCAAACCCTTCCCGACCCAGCACCCTATCTGGCTGTCCTTCCTTTTTTTTTTTTTTTTTTTTTTTTTTGAGATGGAGTCTCGCTCTGTCACCCAGGCTGGAGTGCAGTGGCCAGATCTCAGCTCACTGCAAGCTCCGCCTCCTGGGTTTACGCCATTCTCCTGCCTCAGCCTCCCGAGTAGCTGGGACTACAGGCACCCGCCACCTCGCCCGGCTAGTTTTTTGTATTTTTTAGTAGAGACGGGGTTTCACCGTGTTAGCCAGGATGGTCTGGATCTCCTGACCTCGTGATCCGCTCGCCTCGGCCTCCCAAAGTGCTAGGATTACAGGCTTGAGTCACTGCGCTGGGATCTGGCTGTCTTTCTACACTCACCCTCCTTAACCCAGAAAGTTTGTCTGCGCCTCTCAGTGTTTGAGCTGACTCTGCTCTGAGCCGAGTCTGCACCCCAAGCTTGGGCATCACGGGGATCTCAGTTTGAGGACAAAATAGGAAAGACATGTTTTCCATGGTCCTTGACTGCCCACCCCAAATCACAGGACCCAGCAATCCCAAGGAATGGAACTATACACAGAGGACACACACACCACATAAACTCATGCCGCTCCACACCCCACGTGTGCGGGAGCACAGACCCCACAACCCCCGGCCCTGTAAGCAATGTCCCCAGAGCCCACTGATGTGGGCCAGGTGGTGGCGCATGGCTGGGCACCGCATGAGGCCTGTGCACCCATGGGATCCAGCCTGACCTACTGTGCTTGTACCCATGGAGTGACTGAGCAGGTGCAGACACCCTGCCCCCACCCATAGGTGTCGAACAAGCCCCACAGGGCTCAGCCAAAACCGTCAGGATGGGCTCTTGACTCCTTTCTGCCCAAATTTACCTCCACTCTTGTTTCACAGGGTGGAGAAAGGGGAGAAGTTTCCCTTCAAACTGGAGAGGACTTTAGGCCCTTCCACAAGCTGCAGGGGGGTCCCCAAAGTGGGCAAGCCCACCGCCTGCCCCGGGTCCTGCTCCCGCCTTCCTTCCAATATGGGACCAGCCACCGGGGCTTCTTTGTGGATGAAACCCAACTCTCTCCACAGAAACAGACCAAGGAGGGACAAAAAACTGTTATTTCCAAAGTCAGGAGGTGCCTGCTTTATCTGGGAGAACAGAGCTGGAGCCAGGGAGCTGAGTCTGTGCAGATCGGCCGGCTCCAGCTCTGCGCCTTGATCTCGCCATGGGACGGTGGGGCGGACAGTCCCTCTCTGCCTTTTTGGGTGTTGTGAGTTCATGAGGGCAGACGGTGGCTGCTGTTTCTGGAGCCGAGCTTGCCCCCTCCCATTCGCAAGACTCAGCCGGGAGGCATTTGCCTGTGTCACTAGTGAGGCTTAGGGCCACCCAGATAGGGTAGGTGGAGCTGCCTGGGAAGGACCCTGCTCTGACCCATGAGGCTGCACAGATTCCTGTGCACAAAGACACTCTGTGGCTCAGGTTCCAGCCAAGAGAGACCTGGGACAGCCCTGATTCTGAGCCGTCAGCCGTCTGGAGGCGCAGCTGAACTCCATCGCTGACAGTTTGGAGTTCTTCGCAAGCCTCTGCCATGAGGCACCCTGAGTGCTGGAGTGTTTGCTCCTCCCTGGTGCAGCGTCCCCCTGCCTGCATTTCCCCGCTGCAAGGGAAGCCAGAGGAAGCCAGGTGACTTTGCCTTTCCGTGCACTGGCAAGGTTAATTTGCACAACAAATTCCTACGAAAACAAATGTCAGCCTTGTTATTCCTCCCTAAGCAATATGTTCAACTAATATCTTCTTGATTTCCAGCTGAAATATCACAGGAGAACTTTCTGCCTCTGTTTAAAATGAGTCTCTCGGCAAGCCAGCGGTGTCCCCGGCAGGGTGGCACTGTGTGGCTTTTTTCTCTAGGGAAAGTTTTGCAATATCTTTTGCAGATTTCTTTTTTCTCAAGGAAATGAAGAAAAGATGTTTTACCCCTGAATGTAAGATTAAAAAGAAACACAACCCAAAGTCCTTAAGGCCAAGGGCCCGAGGCTTTCTTGGGGTTTCTATGGGAAAGGCCAGGCAGGGCAGGGAAGTAGCTTTGTTTGGACAATTCTGGTGGGTTCTGGGTGGCTGGGGTGGTCTCTAGTTGTCTAGTTCCTGGCCCTAGGGTGATTTAGGGCTGGGGCAATATTGGCCTGGGGTGTGAGAGTCAGGTGGAGGAGGTAGCTAGGGATATGGGCTTGGGGTGAGTCGGAAGGTTAGGAATATGATTCTCACACACACGTGGATGTTGGAGGGCAGGACAGGTGTAAACAACTCTGGTTATCTGTTTGAGCCTGCAATCAATTAATAGATGCCAAATAGACAAATATGGAATCTAAGAAGGGCCCTTCTTGAGTACGAAGGGCAGCCTGCTTGTCGGGGAAGGTTCCTCACTGTCTCTCAGTCGATCTCCCCGGTGGTCTTCTTCCCTGTGACCTGGCCTGGGGCCACCATGTCCCTGCCCCTTAGGGCCCAGTGCAAAGGGAGCAGCCGGGGACGGGGAGGGCAGAGGTCACCGATCCAGATCCCAGGAAGCATCCTGGGAGAATGCAGCAGGTCCGATGCTTCCCTGGGCCTCAGCTTACCTTCTCCAAGCAGGGCTGGGACTCAGGTGAGGGGAGCAATGCCTAGGCTGCAGGGTTTAAAGTGATGCTTCAGGCTGGGTGTGGTGGCTCATGCCTGTAATTCCAGCACTTTGGGAGGAGAAGCAGGAGGATCGCTTGAGGCCAGGAGTTCAGGACCAGCCCAGGCAACGTAGTGAGACCCTACCTCAAAAAAACCAAAAAAAACAAAAAAAACCCACAAAATTACATGTATTTATAAAATAATAGAGCAGTGCTTGTTCTCAGGGTTGTGCCAGTGCAGGGTGGGCACCTGCTATCAATCACCACCTTCGATGTGGCACCCTGGTTTCTCTCTCCCTTCCTGTTCATGTCCCACCCTGTTCCCAACTTTCCCTTTTCTGAGGCTCCACAACTCTCCTGCCTGCATGAATGTGGGCAGCATGGGTCTGAGGCATTGTTCCCAGTCCTGATGAGGTGTTGGGAGCCTAGCCTAAGGTATCTTCTTAAGAAGCTCAGTGTCCCGCCCTCCAGGCCTGGGAATCCCCATGGCTAACAGAGCCTGTGACCTGCTGGCAAGTGAGAGCCCCGGTTCCTGGCTGCAGAGGAGGTCAGGGCTCAACTCCACTGCCTCCAAGCGGAAATGGACACACAAGGTGTGAGTGAAGCCCCAAGCCCAGGCAGAACCCTCAGATCCACAGGGACTGAGGCCCAGCAGCCCCAGCTCAGCTGGCAATGAATGCAGAGCTCTGCTGGGGAATGCCCTCTCCCCTTGTGGATTGGTCCGGCTGGGCTCCTTCATGCCTGGAGCCCAGTGCTTGTCTCTGCAGGACGCCTGGAGTGACCAGAAGGGGCAGATCCACCTGGATCCCCAGCAGGACTACCAGCTGCTGCAGGTGGAGAGGACCCCAGAAGGCCTGGCCCTGCTTTTCAAGAGGCCCTTTGGCACCTGCGACCCCAAGGATTACCTCATCGAGGTAAGGGGTGGCTGTGAGCACCCAGGAGGGCGTGGGCTGCGTGTACCATGCTGCCATCCTGTGCCAATGGCATAGTACCTTTCCTGTCCCTGATAAGTCTGGGGCCTGGGCCTGGCCAGCTATGACAGAGGAAAACCAAGGAGGATGGCCCAGAGGCAGTGGTGGGGTCAAGGTGCTTAGGATGGCCCAGCTCTGCTATCGCCCCGGAGCCCTCAAAGAAGCAGCCCTTTGCTGACATGTAGCTGACATGGTTTCTAGATGCGGGGCTTGCGCTGTATGGCTTTCCATCCCGGCCCTGTCGCCAGCTCGCTGTGAGGCTCAGGACAGCTCCCCTCCTCCTTTGGACCTCACTTTGCCCATCTGTAAAACGGGGATGGGAACTAGATGATTTGTGCGGCCTGACCAGCTCCAGCTGCGAGTTCATGGGAGCCACAAAACATTGCAAAAACCACAGGCTTCTTATGCTGCCCTAAGAGTCCCCCCCGCCCCACCTCTTAGGGAAAGCAATCCACCTTGTCCTTGAAGACAAAACTCTTTTAACTCTAGCACACCTGACACCTTTTGTCTTGTGTGAGTACTCCTTTGGTGTGGCAATGGCCTGGGGTGGCAGCTAGTGCCAGGTCTTAATCTATGGGGTTAGCTGAGTGACCACACAGGCCAGTACCATTGAAAGATTGATTGCATTTCCTGAGAGAAGGTGCACCTGTGCGGTGCAGGCCCACCTGCGGAGCCGTGGGTTTGGTCAGGAGGCAGATGCGGGAGTCAGTGGAGACCCCAGGCTTGAGGCTTTCTTGGGGTTTCCGCGGGAAAGGCCAGGCAGGGCAGGGCAGTTGCTTCATTTGGACAATTCTGGTGGGTTCTGGGTGGCTGCAGTGGTCTCTGGTTGTCTGGTTCCTGGTCCTAGGGTGATTTAGGGCTGGGGCAATATTGGCCTGGGGTATGAGAGTCAGGTGGAGGAGGTGGCTAGGGAAATGGGATTGGGATGGGTTGGAGGGTTGGGAATAGGCTTCTCACACACGTGTGAATGTTGGAGGGAAAGACAGGTATAAACAACTCTGACCATCTGTTTGAGCCTGTAATCAATTAATAGATGCCAAATAGACAAATATGGAATCTGAGGAAACAGAACAGCTGGCTGTTTGCCAGATGAGGAAACTAAGGCCCAGAGGCGGGGAGTGGACGTACCCAGGAGCTGGGGGTGTGCTGGGGCAGACCTGGGGCCGGAAGAGGTGTTCTTCCAGGAGGTTGTTGAGCCCTTACCCTGCTTCCCAGTGGACGAGGCAAGGGTGAGCAAAGAACCCTCCGGAAGCACCTCACAGGGAAGGCCAGTGCCTGTGTGTGTTCAGCCCAGAGGCTCCAGGCCAGGTATAGGGGCCTCTGCCTGGAGCTCTGGGCGTCCTCTGCACAGAGTGACCCACCAGCTTTCCACAAACTCAAAGAGCAAATTAGCCACCCACACGGGTCTGCACCTGTGGTGCCCAGAAAGCTACGAAAGGCACTTTCCACACCTGATCCCCGTTTCCACTCACGAGAGCATTTAAGGAAGCCAGCCCCGGGTCTTGCCTCCTGAGTCTGCCTGTGGCCTCCAGCACCACGTAGACCCGAGGAGCTTTCTGTGGCTGCTTGGTCCCTTCCTGCCAAGCTGGTGGTGACTACATAACACGGCGCGGCTCCGCGGCTCAGGGTGACCGTCAGCAAGCCCCAGGGTGGTTCCTTCCTTTCATAGACGGCACTGAATCCTCAGGCTGGGCTGCTGAACTGACCAATGATCCCCCACACCCAGTGCCCCGTGACCTTGGGGTCGGTGGAGGGAACAAATGTCCTGGCCACACTGGCTCATGGCAGGCCCAGTCGTCACTGCTTAAATGGATGTTAGGTGAGTGCAGGTGGAATGTGTTTAGAAAAGTATTGGATGGTTGGTGCAAATAGGGGATCCTGGGGGTCATCAGCCTGGGATTTAGTCCCAGCTAGTGCTATGCAAGCCTCAAGGGTTCCTTATTCACAGAGATGAGAGCCAGGTGTGTCATCTGGTAGATGTGGGTGGGCAGGGATGTGGCATCCCCTCAGGAGCCCAACTCTGGGGACTCTGAATGGGTGACCAACTGAGCCCCGTCTTGGCTACAGGACGGCACAGTCCACTTGGTCTACGGGATCCTGGAGGAGCCATTCCGGTCACTGGAGGCCATCAACATCTCAGGCCTGCGGACGGGGCTACAGAGGGTGCAGCTCCTGAAGCCCAATATCACCTTCCCGGCCACGCCCTCAGACACGTACACCATGGATATCCACGCTCCCGATATCCAGATCCCCAACCAGGTGACCACGTACTGGTGCTACATCCACGAGCTTCCCGAGGGCTTCCCTCGGCACCACATTGTCAAGGTACATGTGGGTTCAGGACCCAGGTCCTCGCCCAGCCCTGCCTTCCTCCTGGGCCTGGGTTGTCCCTGACCCTGGAGAGCTGTCCTCTTATCACCGGAACCTCAGGCACCTGCGTGAGGTCCTACAGGATCAGCAAGTAGTCTCGGCTTCCCTGTCACTCTGCTCACTCCCCCACCCTCAAAGGGCCTCTGAGCTCCCACTTCCCTGCCTGGACCAAAGCAACCAACATCTTGACTTCTGCATCTTTCCTTGGGACAGGAACTGCTGTCTGTCTGCCAGGCCACCTTCTCCTTCATGAAAAAGCAGCTTAAGTCAGAATTCACTTGCTCTCGAACACCCGCCCGGGGAAGGCAGAATAGCAAAGGCCATAGCTGTCGAGTGTCCACTATGCCCCTGGCTCTGGGGGAGTGGCGAGGTGATCCCTCCTTCAGCACAAGAGCCCCCAGTTTCCAGCAGGGGAAGTAGGCCCAGGGAGGTTATGTGAGTGTCCAGAGTCACACAGCAGGAAGGTGCATGGCCTTGAAGGTGTGCTCTGGGCCCGGGCTGTAACCTCAGGGCTTCCCTGCCTCCCACTGAGGCTGCAGGAGCCAGCCCGGCCATGGCCCCATATGCATGAGGACGGTTGCGTCCTGTCCCTGCCTTGGCAGGAAATGTCCTGTAAAAACCTCATTTCCTTCACTCTGGAGCGCTCTACGGGATTTGTTTCTGGGCTGATGGCTCCACCCTCACGGCTCTGAGCCCCAGAAGTGCCCCTGAAATTGCCTCGATTATCCCCCCCATTTTACAGATGGGCAGACAGACACCTATGGAGGAGAGCTGCTGGGGAGGGGAGGGTGGGTGGCCGGTTCCCGGGCTCAGGGGGCTGCCTCCTCACAGTACGAGCCCATCGTCACCAAGGGCAACGAGGCCCTCGTGCACCACATGGAAATCTTCCAGTGTGCCCCCGAGATGGACAACGTCCCCCACTTCAACGGGCCCTGTGACTCCAAGATGAAACCTGACCACCTCAACTACTGCCGCCATGTGCTGGCTGCCTGGGCCCTGGGTGCCAAGGTGCGTGCCCCGCGACCCCAGCATGTTGTCTCCTGCCTGGGCCCCTGGCATCCCCACACCACTGTTTCCCCAGCTTCACTGTCTCAGAGGCCCCAAGAAGGGGCTCCTAAGGGGGCTCACGAGGCCACCAGAAGGGCCAGGCCTGAGATGGCCCCCTCGCCTCTGTGATGTCTGAAATGCTACCTGCTTCCAGCCTTTTTAAATTTTCCACAGAAACATAAGTGCCCCAGGACCTCATGCCCTCAGCAGGTCCTGATTCTGTTTCCCAACTGGGTTTTGTGCACAGAGTGGTCCCAGGGCTGGCTGGTGGGATGGGGCCAGTGTTGAGGCCTCCACAGGCTGAGACAATGGGGGTCTTGCCAGCTCTTGCACCCATCCAGAGAAGGGGTTTTGGGGGAAGTCTCAGCCCTAAGCACCAGCTCCTCTCCCCGACACCCTGACCTGAGTCACAGGATGTTACTTGGGCTTGTAAAGAGATGTCAGGAGGAAGCGTCGCTCTAATCCTGCTGCGCCCCCTCCTCTACCCCTGAGGCTCAGGCCCCAACAGTTGACTGGGTTTGTCCCTGCCCGGACCTGGGACCCTTTCAGGACACACCTGTCTGTCTGACACCCTGCCCCACACAGGCATTTTACTACCCGGAGGAAGCCGGCATTGCCTTCGGGGGCCCTGGGTCCTCCAGATACGTCCGCCTGGAAGTTCACTACCACAACCCACTGGTGATAGAAGGTAGGGGGCTCTGATGCCATCCTCCCCCTAGGGCTCAGCTGTGTTGAGCCAGTGAGAAAATTCCACCCTTTGTCTGCCCAGCATGGCGCCCCTGCTGTGCAGCTCCTCTTGGCATGAGGCCCTTGCGTCTGCCTCATCCGCTCTCCATCTTCCATGGCTGTGGTGGGCTCCCAGGGACAGGATCTCGAGGGGCTCACTCCTCACAGCACTGCCAGGGCCCAGCAGTGGCCCCGCACCTCCCTCCTTGTCCCTGTAATACTGGTGGCCATCGGCGCAGCACTGTCCATCCCAGGGGAAAGGACAAGGAGAATTTTCATAAGGGAAACTGCCAGATGCCAAGTTTCAAATAGAGGGAGCGGTGTGTGCATAAACAGGAAAGTGGTAAAGCAGGGCATATTCCAGGACACAGGGGTTCCGGCCTGGCCGGAGTGCAGGGATAGGAAGGGGAGCTGGGGGCAGCTACTGTTGGATCACCCATACCTGAGGGTGGAGTGAGCAGGGTCAGCCTGCAGCATGGCAAGGCCAGGTGACGCTATCTCAGAAACTGAAAAAAATACTTCCCTGTCTCTGTTGTACCAGCATCTTCCACCATATACAGACACATACATGCACACACACGTGCGCACACACACGCACACATGCACACACACGTGCACACATGCACACGCACACAAGTACACATACACACACATGCACAAGCACACACACACACACACTTTTTCTCTCTCTCTGAATGGTGCTTCTTATTTTCATTTGTACAAGGGGCAGAAGTGGCCTAAGAGATAGGTGCTAGGCTGTGCCTTACACCTCGGGGAGGCTGGGTGGATGACCTCACCCTCTGCCTGTTCTCCCACCTCCCACAGCTATTGTGAAGCTGGGAAAGGCTCACGCACAGAACTTGCTGTGGGCAGGGGGCTGTGCTCAGCGAACAGTCGCCTGTGGTTTTTTTTCCTGGCTGCATAAGTAATATCTTCCGCCACTGTTGGAGTTATCTCCACATGCACAGAGAAGGGTATAAGTCAGCTTGGGCCTTAGCATCATACAGGATTTATTGCTCATTTAAACCCTGAAAGCAAATGGATTTCTGAAAACTCCTTAAGCATCAGGGAAGTCTGTCTTTTCATGATTATCTGGCTGTATTTATGGATCCTTTGCCAAATATAAGGACGCTCCTGTCACTTCACCAATCTTGAGATGGGCTGCTTTTCTATAAATATCAAAATCCCACAATTATTTCATGATTTAATCCCCATCTGAATTTTAACCAATTGCAACACCCTTTTTATTATTATCCTCTGATGTAATCAGCCCGGAGATACAGGAGCCGTTTGGGTTTGGATGGTGTAGGGGTGTCGAGGGAAGAAGGCAGAGGCAAGAGGAGTTGTTTTGGCCTCACCTTAAAGGAAGCAAGCAGGGAGATGGTTGGGCCCCCCTGAAAATGCCCTGCACCCCAGTCCACAGGCCTGGATTTGAATCCCAGCTTGGCCGCTTCCCAGCCCTGTGGTCCTGAGCGGAGTCTTCAGTTCAGGCTCCATCCTCAGTTTCTTCATCTGTAAAATAGGGCTATGATTCTTATTGTGCAAAGCTCCCACGAAGGGGATAGGTTATGCTTACAGCATTTCTGGCACCCAGGGAAGATGTTAGTATCTGTACCACCCTCTTAGTTTGTTTGATCAGAAAGAGCAATGCATGTACACTGGTGAGAAGATGGAGAGCAGAAAAGCATGAAGAAGATGAAAGCACTCATGAGCTCCCAGCTCCCGGTTTTGAAGTCAGCACTGGTCACCCGGCTGCGTGTCTGTCCTGACTGCTTTTCTGGCCCATTAATGTTTTTCTTGTGACCAGAATTTTATATCTTTTTTAAGTCTTCATCAGAAGCCTTGTCCCTGTGAATTAAAACCCCTTGTCAATTTCACACTCCTTGCCGCCTGACATCCCTTTCCTATACGTAACCCAGGGGGCGGAGTCTCCTGCTGCACAGCCCCTCCTGACCACCCCGCCATGTCCACCATACATCCGGGGGCATGGGGCCATGGCCAGGCCATTAGATCCTCCCCCAACCATGAACCCAGCCTGTATTCTGAGCCTGACTGCTGATTCACTAGGCATGGAGTTTCAGGAACGGCGGGGCTACCTGGATGACACATGGTTGTGAGGATGTTCCAGTGGGTGCCAGCATCCCTGAACCTCTGTTTTTTGTTTTTTGTTTTTTGTTTTGAGATGAAATCTCACTTTGTCACCCAGGCTGGAGTGCAAAGGCGCGATCTCGGTTTACTGCAACCTCCGCCTCCCAGGTTCAAGTGATTCTCCTGCCTCAGCCTCCCGAGTAGCTGGGATTATAGGTGCATGCCACCACCCTGGCTGATTTTTGGATTTTTAGTAGAGACAGGGTTTCACCATGTTGGTCAGGCTGATCTTGAACTCCCGACCTCAGGTGATCCACCCGCCTCGGCCTCCCAAAGTGCTGGGATTACAGGCATGAGCCACTGTGCCCGGCCCCCTGGACCTCTGACCATCAGTTTCATGTGACCGCTGGGAGGCTGGCCCAGGGAGCTTCAGGGACTCTCCAATTAGCAAACTGCAAGGAGAACCAACAAGCGTGGCCACACCATAATCAGAAGACACAGTTTCCGTGACTGGAAGAAGCACCATGTTATTCCTTTGGAAGAGGCCCTTGACTGTGGGCTGAGGCCCAGAAAGGGACAGCAAGTCATCTGAGAGCACACAGCACGCTGTTGACCAAGCGGGACCCAGGGCTGTGCATGAAGCGGGGCTAGACCTGCAACTCGGACCCTCCTCCTGGGGGGCCAGATTCTCATTCAAATTGTTCCTGTGATGTCAGCTTGGTAGGTGGATTCCCTGGGTCTGCAGGATATAAATCAAAGTAGTAAAAGCGGGGGCTGCAGGGAGGATGAGCTCCTGGAATGCTTCTTGTTAACGTCAACACAGAGATACACTCACACTTGCCCAGCTTTGACACAGGACCAGGGCTCTTCTGTGCCAGTGGTAGATGGGAGTTCCATGCCCTCTTCTTCACCCAGACCACACCCTGCAGGTTGTCACCGTCCTGCAGGCTGATTTCCAGCTTAGGTTCCTTTGAACATGGAAGAAGAACATCAAAGCACTTACGAAACAATCTGAGCACAGAATCCAAGTTGTTTATGAGTTTCCATTTATCAGCAGCATCTCACCTGCACCTGATTCCATGGAGGCTTGAAGTGGCTCACCTTGATCACATCTTTCCATAGCATTCAACTAGTTTTCATAGAAACAACAGCTCTTTCTTCCCAGTGAGTGTAACCTGTTTGCGTTAATTGATCTTGTGAGCTGCCTGGCATCCACAGGCGTGGAAACAAAGACAGCCAGCTCTTGGTCTGCCTAGCAGGTGGGAGCAGATGGGGGGTGACCAGCCCTGCCTCCTGGCTGAGGGTGGGTGGAGTCATAGGGACAATCTGTCGGCAGCAGGAGGTGAGAGGGCCTCCACTCGCCACTCACCTCCATCCATCCCACCTTCTCCCAGGACGGCGCGACTCCTCAGGCATCCGCTTGTACTACACAGACAAGCTGCGGCGCTTCAATGCGGGGATCATGGAGCTGGGACTGGTGTACACGCCAGTGATGGCTATTCCACCGCGGGAGACCGCCTTCGTCCTCACTGGTTACTGCACGGACAAGTGTACCCAGCTGGTGAGTGGGGTTGAGCCCGGCACCACACCCTCCGTCTTCCCACGTGCCCTAGTGGAGGCCTGGCAGGTGGTGGCCCAGGACGGGTGGCAGGCACAGCTTTGGTTCCCCTGACCCTGAATCCCTCTGCGGTTCTCGCTCTCTTCTATATGCAAGGGTGCCTTCCTGCTGAGAGGCCATTTGTGTGTGTGCACCTCCCTCTCCAGCAATAACCATGGCTCCCACTAGTCCACACCCACGTGCCAGGCTTCCACGCGCTGCATTTTAAAATATGCCTTCATTATGTAAGCAACACACACGTGCACTTGCCACTCAAAAGCGCAGGCACTGCAGCTAAAGAGAATGCTCCCCTCATCCACTGCCGCCTCTCCCTGAGATATCCACTTATTGGCTCTTTGTGTGCTTCCAGATCTTTCTCCTGTGTATTTCAGGAAGCCCTTGCAGGTGTTAGAAACCTTTTGAGTTTTTTTTAAAAAGTTGTATTGAATAGTTTACAAATTTTTCAACAAATGGAGGCATTTTTCTGGTGATTTGCCTTTTTATTGCTGCATAGTATTTCACACAGGATGGGGTTTTCACCATGTACCTAACCAGGGCAGGACTAGGTGAGGCAGTGAAGTGCCAGGTACAGGATCTCAGGGAGACTGTCAGGGAGACTGAGGAGCCTTCAGTCTCCCCATCTGTGAAATGGGTACAACACTTACTTTGCAGGTCATTGTGAGAAGTAAAGCTACTGCACAGGAGGAAATGTTTGTAACATATACACAAACTATGAAATAACATCCGTCATATAAGAAGAACTCCTAGAAACCGACAGTAAGAGAAACAAACCACCTACTGGAAAAACCGAGCACAGGGATGAACAGAAAACAGGAACAAATGGCCAAGAAGGAGAGGAAAAGATCCTCAAGTCCACAAACAGAAAATTCAAGTTAAACAACACTGACATGTCCTCATGAGCTTGTCCTCAGGGCTGCGCATGCTGGGTGGAGGCACAGGTTGGCACTTAGACTCTGGTACCAACAGCAGGTCCTGTCCTTGGCTTCTGGCGAGATCGGGGACTGACTACTAAAATCCCCTCCTCTATTTGCCTTATCTTGGTCCAAGCCTGTGCTGAACTGTCTCCCTATCAATCGGTATCTAGGCTGTTCTCAACTTCTCACCAATAGAAAGAAGCTTCCCGGAAATCCTTGTCCATGCCGGAAACCGTTTTCTCATGTAGATTTCTAGACGTGAAATTGCTGCTCAGAAATCTGAGCGTTCCCTTGAATCAATCTTGCAAAATGCCTCTCAGAAAGCCCATCTGCTGCTTCCTCCCACACACAAGATGAGAGGGTGCCTGGTTTGACTGACCCATTGGATTATTAATATTGTAAATATTTTCTGGCCTGGTGCGGTGGCTCATACCTGTAATCCCAGCACTTTGGGAGTCCAAGGCGGGCCGATCACGAGGTCAGGAGATCAAGACCATCCTGACTAACACGGTGAAACCCCGTCTCTACTAAAAATACAAAAAAATTAGCCAGGCGTGGTGGTGGGTCCCTGTAGTCCCAGCTACTCGGGAGGCTGAGGCAGGAGAATGGCGTGAACCTGGGAGGCAGAGCTTGCAGTGAGCCGAACCGAGATCGCAGCACTGCATTCCAGCCTAGGAGATAGACTGCATCTCAAAAATTAAAAAAAAAAAATATATATATATACACACACACACACACACACATATATATATACACACATATATATACAGACACACACACACACACATATTTGGGAGGAAGACATGTCAGTGTTGTTTAACTTGAATTTTCTGTTTGTGGACTTGAGGATCTCTTCCTCTCCCTCTTGGCCATTTGTTCCTGTTTTCTGTTCATCCCTGTGCTCGGTTTTTCCAGTAGGTGGTTTGTTTCTCTTACTGTCGGTTTCTAGGAGTTCTTCTTATATGATGGATGTTATTTCATAGTTTGTGTATACGTTACAAACATTTCCTCCTGTGAGGTAGCTTTACTTCTCACAGTGATCTGCAAAGTAAGTGTTGACGTACCCATTTCACAGATGGGGAGACTGAGGCTTGCTGGGATCACACTGCCAGCAGTCACGCAGAGTGAAGATTCAAATACCGGTCTGTTTGACTTTGACAGTTGTGGCCGTGACAGCAGATTGCACTGTAATGAGGTTTATAGTGGATTTTCCTTCTCAGTAAATGGGTCGATTGGGATTTGTTCTTCGTGTGGGTGAGCCCCCAGAGCATCCCAGTCTTCCAAGCAAAGGTTCCTCGAGGCTGAAGGGAGACAGAGCTCTCAGCCGGCACGGCACCCATCGTCTCCGGCACGAAATCAGCTCCTTTTGTCCCAGACGGGGGTGGACACACTCTCCCACTTCCCTAAAGCCCCCACTGGTGAAGCGTGGGTCCATGTAAAAGGCACCTTGGCCAGGGCTCATGGGGAAGAGCGGCTTCCAGCCAGGCAGCACTCACTACCCCTTGCAGGGCCTTGGGGCCGTTGATCCCGCTGACCGCTGACCATGAGAACGTCTCTCTCCAGCCTCAGGAATGCAGACCGGCCTCCCCTTGCCAGAGTCCTCCACTACCTTAAGTGACAGAATGAGAATGATCAGTCTTGTCTCTCATTTAGCAGATAAAAGAGGGGCACAAATTCTGCAGCCAAAATCTGGCCTAGTCTAGATGTCCCAGTGAAATAGGCCAAGACGAGAGTGCTGCTTTGGACCAGAGTGCCCAAAAGAGCATATCCTCCCTCCACCTGGGTGACACCCGGCATCTCTGGGCCAGGGTCGGCCTCTGGGGGCCAAAGGGTCATTGGGACCCTTTGGGCTCCCAGGCCTGGCACACAATGGCCCCTCAAGCCATTGCAAGGGACACAAAGCTATAGGCAATGGCAAGGTCAAGGGCGGCTGCTGCTTGGGAGTGAGAGAGAAGGAGCAAAAGTGAGTCGTAAAAAGCTTGGTCATCTGGGGCCTTCAGGGACGGGGCTGTCAGGACCTTGAGCTCTGGGACCTGCTGGCCGTATGAACAAGCTGGGCAGAGCCTGGCAGTGGGTGGGCAAGAGGACAACTGACTCACTAAGAAAATGCTCGATTTCAGGAAACACGTTTTCTTTTCTTTTTTATTTTTATTATTATTTTTTTGTCGTTGTTGTTGTTTTGGGATGGAGTTTCACTCCTGTTGCCCAGGCTGGAGTGCAATGGCACCGTCTCAGCTTACTGCAACCTCTGCCTCCCGGGTTCAAGTGATTCTCCTCAGCCTCCTGAGTAGCTGGGATTACAGGCATGTGCCACCATGCCCAGCCAATTTTTATTTTTTTTTTTTTTTTTTTTGAGATGGAGTCTCGCTCTGTCGCCCAGGCTGGAGTGCAGTGGCCGGATCTCAGCTCACTGCAAGCTCCGCCTCCCGGGTTCACGCCATTCTCCTGCCTCAGCCTCCCGAGTAGCTGGGACTACAGGCGCCCGCCACTTTGCCCCGCTAGTTTTTCGTATTTTTTTAGTAGAGACGGGGTTTCACTGTGTTATTAGCCAGGATGGTCTCGATCTCCTGACCTCGTGATCCGCCCGTCTCGGCCTCCCAAAGTGGTGGGATTACAGGCTTGAGCCACCGCTCCCGGCCCAATTTTTGTATTTTTAGTAGAGGCAGGGTTTTACCATGTTGGTCAGGCTATTCTCAAACGCCTTAACTCAAATGATCCATGTGCCTCAGCCTCCCAAAGTGCTAGGAGTACAGGCGTGAGCCACCATGCCCGGCATGGAAACACATTTTCTATCTAAAAAAAGCATTAGGTTTGAGAAAACTTTCATTCTCTGGAAGATTCTCTCAGGCCTCAGTGATGGCATGAGACCTCTTGGCGTGAGGGCTGCCATCTTTTCTGTGAGGCCGGCCTGTAGCCTCAGAGTGTCCAGCTGCAGCACCCCATGGTCATATCCATCTTGGTCCCGGATGACCACCTTCCAGTTGTAGCCACAGCTCCCAGCTGTAGCACGGGGCGATGATGAGCCCAGCCTTGTGCTCATCAAGGAGAACGCAGCCTTGGCTGCTTTGAAGCTGAAAGGAAGCCACACCACAGGGCAGCTGAAGGGCCTGCCCGGCCCAGCACGTAGGGGACCTGCCAAGTACCGCCTTCCGCCACTTGCTTTGCCCTGGACGGCAATCCCTTGAGCACAGAGGCCATGCGCTGCTCAGCTTAGTGGCTTTGCCTCACCCTATCCACAAGGGGTTTGCCTTAAAGGCCTGTTGACTGAGTGAAGATGAACGTGTCAGGCTTCGAGGGCTCAGGAGAGGACGAAGGACTTGGAAAGAAAGTCGCTCCTGAGCGGGAGTGGGGGCTGCTTCTTTGGGAGCCGGGGGCTGTTGCGGCCACCTCGCTCCTCCCTGTGAGGTTTCTGATGGTGGCTCTAACCTGGTCGGGGAGAAAGACCTGGAAAATGCAAGTGTCCAGGAAAGCAAACTGCCCAGGGTGGCTGCTCCCTGCTGGGTTCTGGCCATGGACGGGAGGGTCCCTTCGGAGGTCAGGCCCTGACGCTGCAGCCCCCCGACCCCACAGGCACTGCCTCCCTCTGGGATCCACATCTTCGCCTCTCAGCTCCACACACACCTGACTGGGAGAAAGGTGGTCACGGTGCTGGCCCGGGACGGCCGGGAGTGGGAGATCGTGAATCAGGACAATCACTACAGCCCTCACTTCCAGGTAGAAGCCTGTGCCCCACCCCCCCCCCCCCCCCCCCCCATCCCCGCCCCGCCCCCATGCCCTGCCCCCATGCCCTGCCCCCACGCGACCTGCTGAGCCTACTGTCTCCTGATACCATAGGGATGGCCCCAGGCTGGCTTCTTTCTCCTGGGCCAGCCCCCCACCATGTGGCCTGTGCTCCCCGCTTGGGTGTCTGATTGTAGAGAGGGCCTCTGGCACATGGCAGATGGTGGTGGGATTCGGGAGACCCGGGCAGCCCTCTGGTCACATCCGTCTTGGTCTTGGATAACCACCTTCTGGTTTGAATCTAACGCCCTCCCTGGCCAGAAGCCACACTTAGCCGGCCCTGGCTTCCACTGTAGAGGCTGGGGCAAAACGGACACCCCCAGAGATCAGGGAGGCCTGAGGGAGGACACAGTGGCCGGGGGTCTGGTCTGCAGCTCTCTGAGATCTCCTCTCCCCCAACCCCTCGGCTCTGCTTGCCCCAGGAGATCCGCATGTTGAAGAAGATGGTGTCGGTCCATCGGGTGAGTGCCCAGCAGAAAGGCAGTCCCAGTCGCCGCCACCAGCTGGGATGGCTGGGAGGGCTGGGGGTGCCGCCAGACGGAGAGGGACAGAGAAAGTGATGGGGGGAGGGGAGAGCCGTCCAAGGCAGGGGGAGGGTGCCTGTGGGTGGCTCAGGGTTGGGTTGCCTCATGAGGAGACTCACTTGGGAGTTCATGGAGGGACATCAGAAGTGGGGGAGCAGACAGGACACTCCCAGGGGACGCGTATCCTCAGCCTGACGGGCTGACCACAAACCCGAGAGCGTTTGGAGGAGATGAGGGCACTAAGGCAGGCAGTGGAGCCCTGATCCCACAGAAGGCCAAGCTCAGGCCTCAGTCGGGACTTGCCCAAGTTCCTTGAGATGTGTCATGACCCACTCGCCTGCACCCCCACTGGCCTGGACCCTGTTGTGACCCACTGGGTCACAGGAGCTGATGGTTTGTAACTTCCCGGGGACACTCAGCCTGTGACCTTCGCGCATGAATCTGCTGGGCTCCTTGTAGTGGATGACAGGGACTGTACCCCAGAGGTACCGTGGCCCACACAGTGGCGTGGTCCCATGGGGGCGAGGCCTCAAGTGCCCGTCAATGCCAGGTCATGTTGGCTTTTCCTCAGGGAGATGTGCTCATCACGTCCTGCACGTACAACACGGAAGACCGGGAGCTGGCCACAGTGGTAAGTCACCCCCGCTTCCCCTTTCACCTGCCCAGGGAGAGTGTTTAGCCTGGGCTGTCTGAGGAAGGAGGACAGGTCTTGACTCCTCACTTAGGACATGGGCTCATCCCCTCAATAAGCCAGTCGTTCTCAGCACCTGCTCCCTGAACCCGCAGTGGCAGCATCACCAGGGAGCTTGGGATAAATGCAACCTGCCGGGTACCACCCCAGGCCCACTGAGTCAGAGACATGGGCGGTGGCACTGGGAAATCCATGTTTTAACAAGCTCCCAGGGGATGTTGACCCCTGCTCAAGGTTGAGAGGCACTCACACCAAGAAACTTCTCAGCACCCGGGGCTGGTGTGGGGAGAAGCTGTAGGACAAGAGGTTGATCTCTGCCCCGTGGAGCTCCAGGTGCACCGGGGAGACGGGCCTGGAGCACCTGCTGCTAACAACAAGCAAAATTATAAAAAAGAAACTTTCAAAACCAGGTTGAGGAGCCAGAGGTGCAGGGACCTGGGAGGGCCTCGTCAGAGATGTGGCTGTCACATGGAGCCCAGGGGAGAGGGGAGGAGGTGGAGGAAGGCTCCATGCAGGGGCTGTGTGCGGGAAGGCCCAGAGGACCAGGAACATTCTCAGGACGGAAAGGAGAGGAGGAGAGGGTGGAGACATGGGGAGGGGTCAGGCAGTGTGAGCGTCAGCTGAGGATCCATTTTGGCTGGACTGCAGACAGTTCAAGGAGAATCTGCACTGGGGAGATCTGTTTTGAAGGCTGGGTGTGCAGGCAGCACCAGGACACGGGCAGCCATGTGAGGCACCATGCAGCAGGGCTGTTTCCGGGACCCAAAGAGGGGGTGCTGTTCACAATTACCTGGGTTCCGGGCACAAGCCAGGGCTGTCCTGGCACACGGGCCACCCTGCCAGTGGATCCATGCCAGCTGCCTTGGTATCCATGGTGGGCTCCAATAATTATCCTGTGAATGGTGTGGCTCAGAGTGCAGCAGACCTGGGTTACAGCTACCCGGACACCCCTCAGTGCCAGGAACTCGGGTCCATGTCACAGCCCTATTCTTTGTGTTTTAATCCATGAGTCCATGTCACAGCCCTATTCTTTGTGTTTTAATCCAATGTGGATTCACCTGATATTTACTGAGCCCAGACTGCCATGGTTTTCTTCTTTTTACTTTTATTTTTTCTGAGACAGAGTCTCGCTCTGTTGCCCAGGCTGGAGTGCAGTGGCACGATCTCAGCTCACTGCACCCTCCACCTCCCTGCAACCTCCACCTCCCGGGTTCAAGCGATTCTCCTGCCTCAGCCTCCCAAATAGCTGGGACTACACGCCACCACGCCCGGCTAATTTTTGTATTTTTAGTAGAGACGGATTTTCACCATGTTGGCCAGGCTGGTCTCGAACTCCTGACCTTGTGATCCACCCCCTTCGGCCTCCCAAAGTGCTGGGATTACAGGTGTGAGCCACCGTGTCCTGCCTATTTATGTTTCTTTTTAAACAGCTTTACTGAGATGTAATTCACATGCCATACCATTCACTCATTTAAAGTGTGCAATTGTATGGTTTTTTGTAAATTCACAGATCCATGCAACCCATCGTCGTGGTAAATTTTAGAACATTTTCATCACCCCCAAAGGAAACCCCATATCCCTTAAGCAGCCGGTCCTCATTCCCCTCCCCGCTCAGCCTGGCAACTGATCTATTTTCTGTCTCTGTGGACTCTCCTATTCTGGACACTTCATGTGAATAGAGTCACACGATACGTGGCCTTTCGTGTCTGGCTTTTTTCATAGCATGATGACTTCGAGGTTTCTCCATGTTTTAGCGTGGATCAGTACCTCATTCCTTTTCACGGATGAGTAACATCCCATTGTATGGAGGGACCACGGTTTGAGTCTCCATTCATCCACTGATGGGCATCTGCGTGGTCTCTGCCTCTCATTTAGTTTTCACACCAGTCTCCAAGGTAGGAGTGTTTGTATTTCTCATATATATATATATAATGTATGTATGTGTGTATATATATTTTGAGACGGAGTCTCGCTCTGTTGCCCAGGCTGGCATGCAGTGGTGCGATCTCAGCTCACTGCAACCTCCGCCTCCCAGGTTCAAGTGATTCTCTGCCTCAGCCTCCCAAGTAGCTGGGATTATAGGCGCGCACCACCACACCCAGCTAATTTTTGTATTTTTAGTAGAGACGGGGTTTCACCCTGTTGGCCAGGCTGGTCTTGAGCTCCTCATGTAATCCCTCATGCTGGGATTACAGGCATGAGTCACAGCACCCAGCCAGTGTTTGTATTTTCACAGGTGAGACATAAAGGCTCAGAGAGGGCAGGCACTTGACCAAAGTCACACAGCTGATAGATGGCTGAGCTGGGATTTGACCCAGGGCCTTGTGCCTCACGGTTCTTACCACACCCTTCCTGTCTCCCTTGGATTTCAGGTGACAATTGCCCTAGGTCCCTGATCACAGATTCAGGGTTGGGGGGTGGGAGAGCTTTGCCAGTCCTTTATTCTCTCTAGAGGAGGTGCTCAGTATATCACGGCAGTGGCTGATGTCAGGCGCTGGCCACAGCTCAGCACTGCTCTAATAACTCATCCTAACCACACCAAGCCTTGCTGAGACCTCTGAGCAGATCCCACCAGGAGACACTGTGAGGTCCAGCCACTCAGGCCACACAGCGAACAGGAGGCAGGGCTGGTATGGGGGCAGGTGCTAACCCCAACTGTGCCACCTCTTGGCTGAGCACCTGTGCAGTGACTGAGTGAGCTCGCAGACACAGGGCTCTGCAAGTGGAGCACCCCAGGCAGGACCCCAGCATCGCCCCATTCTGCAGGCACAGCGCCAGGGTCAGGGACGGGAGGGTCTTGCTGGGTATCCAGCCAGGAGACTGCATATTCCCTGCCCAACCTGGCTTCATGGCGGCAGAACCGATGCCACGTCCCCGGGCATTTAGGGCTGCCAGCCCTGGTGAGCACCACTGACATCTCAGATGCCCGTTCTTGAGGTCGAGGCCCTCGGTACCAGTGTCCCAGCGGGCAGTTCTGTGGCGTCCCTGGCCCATGCCCTCCTCTTGGCGGTGGCTACATCACAGCACCAGGCGGGATCAAAGGGGAGGGCAGCTTCCCAGGTGGATCTGAGCTTCTCATGCTCTGACAGCTCCTCACCTGCTGATCCAAGAGACAGCGGCCTTTGAAATTCGATTTCCTTCCCCAGGTGAAAGAGGAGAACAGATCCTGCACAGGGTCGGACTCAGTTCCCTTTTGATGTCTGCGGCGGCGGAGGGTGGGGAGGGACGGGAACTCACACAGGAGGCCTATCTGCCCCATCTGACGCGGGCGGGATGGATGAGAAAAGCTGGGAAAGGAGGATTCCGGCTTCCGGCCCAGAGAACAATGCTGGCAAAGCCCCGTCCTGGCCAACAGGCGCCAGGTTTGGTCTCTGGGCAGAACTGCCCCATGCTCTTTGCATGGGAGGAGGGGGTGGCAGCTGGTGTAAGCACCACACTGAGCTTTTCCCAGTCCCTTTGTTCTGCCATAGAGCGACGATTGCCTTTCTTCCCCACTAGCCAGATGAAATCCCCAGGCCCACAGCAGCTTCACAAACAGCGGGGAGCCTGGACGAGCAAGGGTGGCCAGGGCGTCATGTCCTGGCCCCTGACCTGCTGGGATCTGAGCTGCTGCCGGGGGAGCTTTGCTCTCTCCAGCCCCAGCTCCTCCAAGCTGCCGGCGTTCTTCTTCCTCCCATGGCTGAGGCTCCACAGTCACCAGCTCCAAGAGCAGCAACCCAGCTAGGGGCTTAAAGTTGGCAGTGGGGACTCAGAGCGTGCCTGCCCTGCCTCTCCCATGCGATGGCAGGCCGTAGGGTTGCCCTGAGAGGCTGGAGGTTGTTGCGACCTCTAGTCACGGTCCTGTCTTCTAGAGTCCCTGCTCCCCTCAGAGCCGCATTCGAGAAATGACTGGTGGACGGCGTGGGGCTGCAGTGGAAAGGGCCTCCCTTGCAGTGCTTGGCTCCAGGCTCCCGCTGGAGGTCATGGGGACAGCTTCCAGACAATGGCTGGGAGGCTGGGTCCACTCAGGCTGTGCCACCAATGCTGTGGCCACCATGGGGCATCCCCTTGCCTGCTCTGAGACTCAGCTTCTGTACCCATAAAATGGGCACAGTAACACCCCATCTGCTTGTCCCGTTTCATTTTTCTTCACAGCATCATCGGCACCTGAGAGGAATGTCCTGGTTAACTCACTCGCTGCCTGTTTCTCCTGCCAGTGGTGGCAATTCTGTGAGGGCAGGGACTTAGTTCCCCAGAGCATGCCTGGCATGGTGCAGTGAACAGACAAGTGGACGCAGTGAACACGTGGATGGGGCGAAAGCTGCTGGACGGCAACGTCTGCGTGGCACGGCCCGGGGCTGACGGGTCTTCTCCAACTTGCAGGGCGGCTTTGGGATCCTGGAGGAGATGTGTGTCAACTATGTGCACTACTACCCCCAGACGCAGCTGGAGCTCTGCAAGAGCGCTGTGAACGCTGGCTTCCTGCAGAAGTACTTCCACCTCATCAACAGGTGAGGGCTCCCTGCACAAGCTCCCTGCCCCCAGGGAGCCCCGACACAGAACCTCTGGGCCTGTCAGGCAGCTGGGCAGATTGGAGGAGTCCAGGCTAAGTTCTAGGAGCCTGTGGCGGCATCACTCACCCCTCCCCTCACTCATTTCCTACTGAGTCTGGATTTGGCTTGAGAGCCTCCTCAACCCAGCCTGGAGCACCCACCCGCCAAGGTGACAGGAGAGGTGAAGCCGTTGCTGGTGAAGGCAGTATCTGGGACGGCCTGGTGGAGGCAGCGGGGCTGGGGAGGAGGCAGCAGGAGGGTCTCCCCAGGGACAGGACCAGACCTGCAGGGAGGTGTCACTGGTGCCCACTGGGGTCCCTGCCCGTCGGCTGCTCCCCAGCCTGGCTGTTCCTTGTCCCCACCAGGTTCAACAATGAGGAGGTCTGCACCTGTCCTCAGGCGTCCGTGTCTCAGCAGTTCGCCTCTGTTCCCTGGAACTCCTTCAACCGCGACGTACTGAAGGCCCTGTACGACTTCGCGCCCATCTCCATGCACTGCAACAAGTCCTCAGCTGTCCGCTTCCCGGTGCGCTGCCACGGGCGTGGGTGGGGCACGCAGTCGGGCAGGCCTCATGGGGGATCCCAGTGAGGGGTGATGGGCCTGCACTCCAAACTGCTGGCAAAAGCACTTGCACAAGATAATGAGAGCAAGTGCCAGGTGGTGACACACAGGCCTAGACAGCCAGCCAGCAGAGAGAGGGGAGAGAGAGAGGCCAGGAAGGGAGGGCAGCCACCCTTTCCGGATGACACCTCCACACTGGTGCCAAATGCCGGTGGTGTGAGCAGGGCGCGCTAACCTGCCCCCTGCACCTTTAAATAAAGCGCCGGGGAGGGGAAGGTGAGAAACGAACCAGTCTGAATCTGCGAGCTGGTTTTTTTCTTCTTGTCTGAGACCCACTGGCATTCGAAGGCATCTAATTTATCCCGAGCCCAGTGGGCTGCAGTCAGGAGCCCAGGGTCTATGCGGAGTTAGTCGCATACGGTGCCGCAGCCTGGAGATCCAGGAAGATGCTTCCTGGAGGCATCTGGCAGCTGGATTAATTGCTAAGTCAAATGTCCTCAGCACCAAGGGAAGGGCAGGCTAATACTGGCTTCCCGAGAATAGTCTGGGGCGGACGTCTGATGGGGTTGAAAACTTGGCATTTGATGCAGCCTTGAGGGAAAGAGATGGTTAAAAAATATCAGAGCCTGCAGCCAGGGGCTCTGGTTACTACGTTAGGGTGAATGATTCAATTGGGTGCGGACGGAGGCAGGGAGAGGCCTGGATGACTCCCAGGTTCCTGACTAGGTGAATGGGAAGCCAGGGGAGGGGGCATTTACTGAGGTGAGGACCCCCAAAAAGCAACTTGGGGGAGAAGAGTGAGTTCAGTTTGGGACAAGCGGAGTTTGAGGGCAAGAACCCAAGAGGTGGCTGGGGAAGCAGCCACCCATCTTGCCCCTCCAGCCTCAGTTTACCTCCTGCTCCCTTCCTTGCAGGGTGAATGGAACCTGCAGCCTCTGCCCAAGGTCATCTCCACGCTGGAAGAACCCACCCCACAGTGCCCCACCAGCCAGGGCCGAAGCCCTGCCGGCCCCACTATTATCAGCATTGGTGGGGGCAAAGGCTGAGGGGGGCCTGCTCCTCCGTGCTGTCCCTGTGGGCTCACACCGGCACTGTGCACCCTACTCTGCGAGGATCCCCATGGAACAGCCCTGCATGCCCAAGATGAAGGGGCCAGACCATGCCCCTGCCTGAGACCTTGGTCCAATCCAGCCTTCTTCCCCCAGGGTCCCCTGCATGGCTGAGAGGGTGTGGGGGCCCTGTTGACCTACCCCGGACCGAGTGGGTCACGACCTCGTCCATTTAAACCGGCTTACTCAGTGCAGGGACAGCCTGCACAGTGATCTAGGGTCCAGCCCTCCGCCAGCCCTGTTCCGCCTCACTGGGTGTGGCCAGGCTCCTGGGACATGCGCCATGCTGGACCGGGGTGCAGAATCACCCAGAACGCCCCCGCCCCGCCCCTGCGCCGCTGCTCCCGCAGAAAGTGATCGGTGTCGGTGTGCGGGGGGTGCGGGTGCTGCTTCAACATTTTCCTGCGGAGTGGCTCGTGTTTCACAGTGGGCGGCTTCCCTGCGACGGAGGCAGGACCAGGCACTTAGCTAGTTAGAGACTCGCCTGGGAAATTGCTCCATTGCCGAGTAAATAGATATTTTCGCCCACCTAAAGGGAAGCCCTGACAACAGCCATCACCAAAAGGCGAGGCGGTGAGGATCCAGCGGGGCTTCTAGGCGCCCCTTCCACGGGGGGGGCGGAGTTATTAGCACCAGCGTGCTTCTCTGGAGGCGGGGCCAGCGCTGAACAGACCGGGGTGGAGTCAGGGCTGTGCTTCCCTTGTGGTTCTGCCACTCAGTGCAGAGTGCCTTGGGTGGGCCATTGCACGTTCCTGACCCTCACTTTTCTCATCTGTAAAACGGGGCTGATGCCGTGCGGGCTAATGAGCCAATAAAGCTCACACTTGGGCTAGCACCCACTGGAGGTGAGTATGTTTGCACTCTGGACCGTCACTCCAGGAGAGAGAAGCTTGCTCCGAGCCTCCTCCCTGTGCCAGGTGTGCCACCAAGTGCTTCCCCCTGAGCGTCCTGAAGCTGCCTCAGCCGGCCTGGGTGGGTCTCCCCTTCCTGCCCTCTGAGCTGCCTCTCAGGGACAAGTTCAGCTGTTTGATGGTTTCTGGAGAGAGTAACAGATGCCGCGGTGTTCAGCCAGTTCAGCAAAACGCCGCCGAGCCTCCTGGGGCGAGAGGGAGATGGATGGGCCTCGGAGTCCCCCCGCATCAGCTAAGCGGCTGCGTCTTCTGCGAGGCACTTCATCACAGAAGGGAACTCACGGGCCCAGGAGCTCTGCCTCGCGTTGTATAAATCACAGCTTCTTGCGGCCCATAAGTCACAGGGTGCTGGCGCTGTGACATGCCAGGCCCCAGCCTGGAGAGCCGCTCCAGCCCTCTGTCATCTTTACAGCCTGGGTGACAGAAGGCAGGGAGCAGGCCCAAGAAGCCCCTTCCCGTTGATCATACCCAATCGTCAGCCCAGAGAAGGGTCCGAGGGTCCTGCCCAAACCCCCCGGGGGGGCACCTGCACCCTGCCAGTCTCGGGCAGGGAAACTGAGACTCCCAGATGAAGACCTCACCTGCAGCCCAAGAGCAACAGTGATTGGGAATCCCAGAAAGCTCTGGAACCTTCCACAGCGACAACCCCACCCCCGCGCACTCTCTCGCTCTCAGGCTGGTTATCCTCTTCCTCTTGTGGAGACAGCAGCTGTGTCCCCCAACCCCGCTCCAGCAGCACCCGCACCTCCCACAGCCAGATGAGTGTGACCCCGTGGTCGCTGAGCGCTGCCACTTGCCCCACACTGAGGCTATGCACAGCCCTAGCAATCCTGTGAAGCCATGTCGTTTCTGCTTTCATTGATGGAGGAGGAAGCTGAGACTCGGAGGCCTAAAGTTAGGTGCCAAGGTCACCCAGAGTAAGCCCGGGAGCTCAGAGTGTCCCCACGTCTGACTCCAGTGTCTGAACGCTCAACCTCTGTCACCTATGAAACAGGAATTTCCCCAGGACCCTTGTGGGGCATTTTATCTAAAATAAGGTCCTTATTTGGAGGCTTAGGGGAAGTGCTTTATTACCTGAAAATGACCTACATGCTCCAAGCCAAAGGGATTCTCTGGGCTCACCCACCTTCTGAATTATTGTGGTGAGTCCAGCAGCCCAAGTTGCTACTCTTACCCCTGCTGTGTGACCCTGAGTTAGTTACTTTCCCTCTCTGGGCTTGGGTCTCCCTATCTGTCCACTGAGGAAAGGGTGTCCCAGCCTCCCAGGGGATGGGGGCTGCTAAGGTGGCACAACCCACCACTCCGAGGTGCTCAGAGCCCTGGGGTGAGGAATGCTCATGCCCAGCGGTGTTGAGAGATGGGGCGGCCCTGGACTCCAGGCTCCAGCCAGCATAGGGGTGCCTGCCCGAGTGGGTCCCAGAGCGCTCCAGGGCTGTCTGTGCTGTTTAGTGGCTGCTAGTCTCATGTGGCTACTCGTGATTAATTTTAAATTAATTGAAATGATACAAGGTCGGGTGCTGTAATCCTAGCACTTTGGAAAGCTGAGACAGGAAGATCATTTGAGCCCAGGAGTTCAAGACCAGCCTGGGCAACATAGTGAAACCCTGTCTCTACAAAAATTAGAGCTGGGCACAGTGACTCACGCCTATAATCCCAGCATTTTGGGAGACTGAGGCGGGCGGATCACCTGAGGTCAGTAGTTCGAGACCAGCCTGGCCAATATGGTGAAATCCCGTCTCTACTAAAAATACAAAAATTAGCCAGGCTGTGGTGGTACGCGTCAGTAATTCTAGCCATCTGTGAGGCTAGGTGGGGCGAACTCCTTGAACCTCGGAGGGCAGAGTTGCAGTGAGCAGATC